TTGAATTCTCAAACTTTTTATTTTATGCTTTGCAGCGAATTAAAAAAGTTGTCCGAAGAAAGCTTAACAAGGCAACCTGAGGAAGTATTTGACATTATATGCAAACTAGGAGAAGGGTGAGTCTATGTAATTTTTGTTCGTATTTAAATGCATTCCTAAATTTACTTCTTAAAAACAGCTATGACTTAATTAACGACATTATATCTTTATTAATTTGTAAACAATTATAATCTAAAGAAAATTTGTTAAAGATAGAAGAAGCGTATCATTTGTAATTTTAAATATATATATATATTTTTTTTTTCTATGATTATATACAATGCAGGTCTTATGGATCCGTTTACAAGGCACTGCATAAAGAGAGTGGGCAAGTGCTGGCTATTAAACAAGTACCCGTGGATACGGATTTACAGGAAATCATCAAGGAAATTTCAATTATGCAACAATGTGACTCCCCATACGTTGTTAAATATTATGGAAGTTATTTTAAAAATACAGACTTATGGGTAAATGCATATGAAATTATTAGAATTAAATTTATATAAATAAAAGATATATATATATTTCTTATTTTTTGAATTTTAATGGTTACTGTTTTTCACTTAGTGCAATTTTATTAAATTGTATAATAATGTTGAGTTATTGATTTTCCAGATCGTGATGGAATATTGTGGCGCTGGATCTGTTAGCGATATTATGAGATTAAGGAAAAAGACGCTGCAAGAAGATGAAATCGCTACAATTCTCAGTGATACCTTGAAGGGATTAGAATACTTGCATTTAAGAAGAAAAATACACAGGGATATTAAAGCTGGAAATATTTTACTAAATAACGAAGGACACGCTAAATTAGCCGATTTTGGTGTAGCGGGTCAATTGACTGTAAGATTTAATACTTTGATATGAGAAACTACGATATGAGAAAGTAAAACTGATAACGATTGTCTTTTACATAGGATACAATGGCTAAACGTAATACAGTAATTGGGACGCCATTTTGGATGGCACCCGAAGTAATACAAGAGATAGGATATGACTGTGTTGCGGATATATGGTCACTCGGTATAACGGCTTTGGAAATGGCCGAAGGAAAACCTCCTTATGGTGATATCCATCCGATGAGAGCTATATTTATGATTCCAACTAAACCTCCACCTAGCTTTAGAGAACCAGATCAATGGAGTCCAGAATTTATTGACTTTGTCAGTGGGTGCCTTGTTAAAAATCCAGAAGAGAGAGCTACGGCGACTGAATTACTCAATCATGAATTTATTGGTAAACATTATACATCTATTACAAAAAATAAATGTAAATAACTTTGTTTAATTTCTTCTTGGAATTTGTATAACAATGTATTATTATAGGCAATGCGAAACAACCAAGTATTCTTAGTCAAATGATCGCTGAAGCACATGAAATACGAGAGAAGCAAAGTGCACATCGTGCACATGTTATCAACAACGTCGCGATCAAAAATCAAAATCAAGCGGATGATTCGGTAATGTCGCCTAATCAAATTTAATTTTTCATGCATGAATTTACATCATTTTTTAAATATTTAACGTAATAATAATATCATTCTATCTACAAATATCAAGGATGAAGAAGATTGTAGTGGTACTATGAAACCTTTGCCAGAAGACACAGGAACGCTCGTTCCTAGTCATGATTTACCAGACACTGGAACGCTTGTATCTGCAGTATTAGATCTTGGTACAATGGTCATTAACAGTGATACCGATACTGAAGCCACTATGAAAAGTTAGTAATTTGCATCTATACAAAGACATGAATATAAAAAAAAATATTATATTATACGTGTACGTGTGTAACTACTTCTAGGGCATAATACTGGATCAGTTGAATCTGGGAAGAAATATCGACCTTTGTTCCTAGATCATTTTGATAAAAAGGAAGCACCTGAGATAGGAAAAGTAAGTTTTTGAAGAAAACTTTAAAGATACTATTTAAAAAAAAAAAAAAAAATTAATTATAAATGTGTTTAGGGTAATGGCCAAATATCAGGAGCGCATAATGTAGAGATCGCTAATAAAATTGAAGTTCAAGGTGCTACAGAATCTCAAAGGTTTCAAAGCCATTTACAATTACAACTCAATCAAATATCGCATCCGGTGCAAGAACAACCGCCTAATAATGTAGGCAAATTTCAAAACGTATTTACGGAACGTGATTTTGACTTTGTAAGTATATTAGCAAGTTATACAATATAATTTCATATATATTACAAATTAGACGTTACTTACAGTTAATTATCTTCCTTTTTACGATTTAGATATGTAGACCTTATTTAGACAGAATAGTAGTTTCATGTTTGTAAACAAATTCTTATCTTTACACATTAACCAAACATTATCACAATTAATATTCCTGCAGTTAAAGTTTCTATCTTATGAAGAACTACAACAACGAATGGCTAATCTGGACGCAGAAATGGAACGCGAAATCGATGAATTAAGAAGAAGATATCAAACGAAGAGGCAACCTATTTTAGATGCCATGGATACTAAACGAAAGAGACAACAGAACTTCTAACAGTTTGACTTCTTTTTTTAAACAAACGAGTGTGATGATAGATAAAGAGTGTACAGTTGTATAAACAAATAGATTTTATCCACTTTATCCCTAGTTTCGTCAAAGAAAAGGACATTTGTTTTATGTACATTTATCTAGCAAGAGATATAATCATTTTAAAATAACTTCCCTCTTCAAATAAATGTCGCTTGTCTTTGGGAAACTAGGGTATATAGATAATACTAGCCAATAGCCTCACGTCACCAATGTAAATTATTTTACATGATTTAGGTGAAAAAACAATAACTCTACTTAACTCTTCCTTCATTTTTTTCGTGTTTTTCTTTTCTATTAAATTTACACATATTTACTGTTAAATATACTATTCTTACAGAAAGTATATTTCCCTTTTTAGGGTTGATTAGGAAATGCAAGAAGGTGTGCAATGCATGTGCAACGGTAAAGCATAAAATTTACAATTGTTGGCTTGTTTGGAAATGAAATTTGACGACAATCTTGCGTCTACTAGTCACGTTCAATGCCATTTATTTTAACAAGAATATTTGTAATAAGATCATTATTAGAGCTTGGATATTGGCTTTCTAAAGCTATCCCCCTACTTGTTGCTTATGCTAATAAACCTCATTGTTTTGCGAGGTACAGTGAAAAATTTAAGGTCATATCTAATACGATAATATGGCCAGTGACCTGAAGTTTTAGAAAGAGATACCACTACAAGCCCTGAACATCATTCACATGATACATACATACATATATATAAATTTCGTTTTAGGCATTTAAGTATTTTCATTTTATCAAACGCGAATTTTACTTTATTGCTAATTCTACTGCCATACATAGTATATAATTTCAATTACGCGTGATGTCAATATTAGCTTACATCAATTTAATCTCACCTTGAGAGACTTTCTTTCTTAAGCACGAAACACCATGTATTTTAAACATATAAGTTTTTGCATTCTCATACATGGTAAGATTTTACGTAGTTTTACGTAATATCATGGTGGGTGAGACGATACATTGCAAAAAAATATTTCGAGAAAGAACTTACTAGGATTAGTCTTCCCTATTAGAGAATAGTCTTATATTTCTCTACTTCGCAATACTAGGGTATTGAAATTATCGAAATTGCGAAGTTGTACGACTACTAGTAACGATTATGATATCATGACATTAATAATCATCGATTAATTCAACAAAACAATATTTATATACAATTCCCAAATGTGGCAAGTTGTCATAATGGTGATTCGTACTTGACTCATTGCCTAAAATTGTAGAGAATGACTACATACAGAGTAATTCTTTGCTGACGTTGGGCTATTTCGTACATATATAATAAAGGTAGATCGATGACACTTAGATCCTGTAGCCAGAACTGAACTTACTTTTTATCCGTTTGAGGATTGATACAGAATAATAACATATTTTTGATATAGAAAATATGCACGATGTCAGTAATACAAGATCTGAATTTCAATTACTCTAAACTAGATCAATTGGATTTTTTTCAATTCTTTTTTTTTTGGAGCCACTAAGAAAATTCATAAAAATTATTATAGAGATAGAACTTCTTCAACAAAGTGACAACTCATGTAATAAGTGTTCGGTTTATCTTTTCCCTTTTTTTAATAGAAATGAAACCTATTGTATAATGATTTTTGCTTCATTATTTGCTTCTTTTATATAACGTTGAGAATAATATACACAAATTGTTACTTTCATCGATATTTGTGGCTTCATTGAAATCTCCTATTCTCTGTATTATTCGATGTGAAACCCATTTTTAGATATTCATTTCATTTTTCTTTTTACTGCAATTTTAAAAAATTATGTATTATAAAATATTTTTCATTACATATACGAAACTGATTTTATATTAAGTGATTCGTATTTACAATGAACAAAAGAATATCACATCAGTATTATTGCAGATACAGTGATGCATCGGAACGCCATTTTGTTAAAATTTAATATTTATCTGCAGGTCATCTCGTTATTAGTATAATAACATAATTCCTTTATGTAAAGATTAGCCAAGATATGTATAGTATCTGCCAAAACCGTCTTTACTTTTTCATCAATAAATATGCATTTGCCACTGAGCTTTAAAGATAAGATTTTCCATTGTTTCTACAGTGTGCTCTTATTAACTTCTTAATCATTCAGGATATTCAAGTTTTATTTACATAAGTTGCCCATTATTTACTTTGTAGTACATATTATTTTCATTATAAAAATATATGAAGTTAATGGTATTATACAAATTTCTATCAGTGCACGTGGAATAATTTTTTTTTTTAGTTTAATATTTAAAAAATCTCATTACATTAAAAACACATTTTACAGTATCATTAAAAAATGAAAAATACAAAAAATGCGTACAAAGAATATGTTTTATATAAATTGACAAGTTTTTTAGAAATTTCATATTGAAACTTCAGTATCATATTTGATTTTATATTTAAAAAAATTAGAATATTCGCGTATTTTCTTATCGCATAAATATCTTTGCAATATACAATATATTACAGAAAGTTAATTCATATTAACATGTATATAAATATATCACAAATTCTGATGTCTACTCGTTATAGTCATAATATCATCAGTTTTTTAGTTGCAATTATATATAGATTATTAAAAAAGTTATATTATATAAAATATGATATAGAATTTGTCAAGCAAACATTTGTTTAATTCTTTAGAATAATAAGTAATAAGAGACTATAAATCTTCATCTCCTATAGTATAAAATGCATTATTCTCCACAATATCACATTCTCTTGTGCGTCCTCTTTCATGTTTATAAACTATAGTTTTGTCGTCGCTAGATTTCTTTAGTTTTATAATTGACAACCTGTCTGTTAATTTTTTAATAATAGGTTCTACTCCAGCAGTGGAATGAACTTCATCTTGCTACAAAATAAAAAATAATATAGTTGGAGCACAATATAAGAAATAATTAGATAAAACAGTCAATCTTCATACTTGTTTTTCTTCATCAATATTTTCTATTGGTCCAGCACCCATAACAATACGGCTATGTCCATCTCTCATTATATATGTCCATGATTTTTTTTGTGGTTCCTGAAAATAAATGCATTCATTGCTAAAATTAAAAAATTAACATTTGATTTTATTAATATCAATAAATTATCTATAAACCTGATGCTTATTGCCATCTGTACTTTTTAATAATAATTCGTCTATCATAGACTGCAGACATACAGACATTAAAATAGCCTGATCAGAAGAAATCGTAATCCATTGCAATTGATTCTTCGCTATTAAATATTCAAAAGATAGCTCAAGATTAAAATGATCATGATGGTTGTATCTGTCTATACCCTAAAAATATTATATCTGTTATGTTATTTATAACTGCAACTACTCTTAACTTTCCAAACATATACTTATTTTCTACACACTTACATTTTGTGAAGTAGTTATACGCCAACATCGCATTCTAGTTACCTTAAATGCTATTTCTTGTGGTTTAAGATCGGACGTTAATACACGTAAATTTAATTCATTTTTACCAATGGCAATTATTACCTTCGATTCTGATTGAGGATAATCACAAAAACATGGTATAAATTGTACATAACCATAATATTTCAAAGTGCGTGCAATCTTCATATACTAAAAAAATATAATATATATAATATATATATATATATATATATATATATATATATATATATATATATTTTTTTTTTTAATATATATATATATATACATATATGTTAATACACACGCACATATTAACTTAAAAAATTGAAATTACTTATACATAAGATACCTCTTTTTTCGTTTCATTTTTTTGTAGATTTTCCAAGCAATTTTGCACTTCATCTGTAATCAAGATCCATCCCCTTTGAATCTCAGCTACTGTTTGGTTGTATAATAAACTTAAACCTATCGAATCATCTAATATTTCTAAATCATGCTCAATATCCCAATAATTTCTTCCAAGTACTACTCGAATACCTAGAGTACACATGTTTTTATATGTTATAACAGGAGATTCAAAATCCTGTAACTTCCGCAATACTGGACAAAACAAAAAGTTATTATATGATACATAAATGTAATGAAATAAATAAATAATAATAATATTAACGCATATTGCATGCATACCAATTGCATTGTTATCTTCTTGTACAATAATAAACAAAGCAAAGTAATGGTGCAAATGGTTCAGTAACATAATACGGTCATATACTTTCTAAAAAGAGATATAGGTATGCATAAAAAATGAAATCGCACTTCTATTACAGTTGATAATCTTTTTGATAATATACACAAATACCTTTAGAACTTGTCCAGAGTTTTCTTTCGTAGAAACATTAATGGTTACTTTATAGTCATTTGAAAGAAATACATCTAAATACTCATTCTCAAATGGACCATTCACAGCTTCTTGTTGTGCATTTAATAAAAATCCATTTAATAATTCTGAAGAATTTATTACTGGATCTTGTCCTATTGTCTGAATATATTTTTCTAAACCAATACGGCGTTCTTCTTGTTGAGTCATAGTTAAAGGAAAGAACTTTTTTGGAGGAAATGTTGGAAGAGGAATATTAACATCTTTTACTAACTGTTCGTGTAAGTTAAGCAATTGCTTGTAACGTACAGTACAATGAAATAATCCATTTATATGGATATTGTAGCCCTGAAAATCAAATAACAAGCAGGAGTAAAATATATATAATTGTTTTAATTATAATTTAATTTTAATTATAATTTAAGATATTAATACTTACAACATATGTGTTACTAGCTGCATCTAAAAATTCTTGGGTGTCTGGTATAGAAAAATGCATTTTCACTAAAGTTAATTTAAAGGCTTCTTAATTTTGTACTTCTTAAATAGGTGCATAGTTTGTATTTTATCTTTAGAAAAAAATATTAGACAAAATTTATCAATATATTCAAAATATGTCTACTTTATACTTTAATACTTTACATATCGTCATATGTGTATATATATATATACATATATATATATTCTTTTTCTTTTTGAAATTATTTTGTTAACTGATAGTAATTACATTAAAAATAATTGAAAAATATAAAGTGTATGGAATATAGAAAAAATAATATAACGGATATTAATTTTCGTTAACGTTTCATTTAAAAAATAAAATATTTATTCACTTACAAAATTGTTTTATTATACAATCCTAACTTCATGAGAATCGTCATAACATATCTATATATCTATATCATATCTATATATATTCATATGAATGCATACGCCTACATATCTATTACTTACATTTCATATTGTTACACCTACTGACATATTTTTCACTATTGAACTTGCGTACAACCTCGAATATATCCAGTCGATTAAGGCTATTTATTACCTATGGTTTTATTATAGTTTACAACAACAATGAGTACAGGCGTAATTCTTTATCGATTTTAATGAACAAAGTCTCATTTTAAAGATAAAGTTTTAAGCAAGGACATAGTGTTTTTGATTTTTGAAAAAGCTTTATTTTCTTCAAAAAAAAATCGTGTCAAAAAATAGTATTTTTTCGAGAATAGTTTATGCATAAAAATAAAGCTTGCTAAATCAAAAATTTGAAAAATCATGTCCTCGCTTATATTTTCGACTTTAAAATGAAATTTTTTTTATCAAAATCGATCAAAAATTACGTTTGGATTCATTGTTGGCATAAAAGCTGTTTTTAATATTTTTCAAAAAAAAAAAAATTTCGTTAAGTGGCGCTCCTTGAACATTGCGGTGAAAGAGAAGAAACTAATATCGCACTACTGATTTTGATATAAACACTTAAGTCGTGTACGTTTGTTCCGTGAAGTAGATTATTTGATTGTTTGTATGCGTAAACTAATGCTCAGATTATCTAATCTATTCCAAACACAAGGAAATGCATTTCACGATCACACAGAGAAGCTACAGTACTCATTTAGATATTTTAATGAGTTTTGGACGGATAGTTCTATAGTAAAAATAAAGAAGTACGTATTTCAGCTTTCATGTCAATAAATTTTAGATATTGTTAAATTTAAAAAAAAATTTTCGATGGATTCCGCTTGATTTTTTATTTTTTTTTATTTTATCAACACAAACGAACATAACCATTAATTTTTTTTACATGTATAGATTACATATTATTTTTACAAAAATCAAAATATGAGTTATCTAAAGTTAATTCTACTAAAAAGTTAAAACTCTTAGCACTACTTTTTTTGCAATTTCTTTTGCAATCCACTTTATATTAGTACAACTGTAATAATATATAATATCAAAACATAATAATGAGAATAACGATAAGAAAAAGAAATAGAAGGAGAAATATATATATAAATATACTTACACATGATATAAATCATGTATATCCTATATTGTATATAATGTTGATAATTTATAATAATAAAAAAAGAAAGGACATATTTAAAAAAATAAACAAGATACAATACAGCCAACTTAGTCGCTGGTGTCTCACAAAGATCTATGTCTTTTCTTTTAGGCGCATTCTATATCGCGCGAATTCTCAACAATCGTGTCTTCAATAATTTGGACACGTGATGAGCCACCTATACATACACAGATAAGATACGATTATAAATACGAAGCGGTTCTTTTATTTTCGTCCGTTATTTTCCTTGTCTTTCTGCCTTATAATCACCAGTTTGTAATATTCGCTTTTGTTTTTATTCCGTTTTTTTTAACCTTTTGACTGTTTTGAGCAGAAGCACTTTGCGTGAGCGGCATGCGATCCATGTATGCGACCGCTAGGGACATAAAAATAAGAAAATAGTAATCAATTAAAACCTTCACCGGACGCATATATGCGTCCACAGGCCACACCGATAACCTTTGTTGGACGCATATATGCGCCAGTAGCAGTCAAAGGGTTAATATCGTATTATTCTTTTTCTTATTGATTTTTTTTAGCGATTTTGCGGAACTGTTAATTTCTATGAAATTCTATTGTGAAATCGATATAAAGAAAAAGTAGAAATCGTCATCATGTAAATAGGTTTATATGATTTTATTATTATATGTATACTCATTTTAACAATGTAAAGTGTATACGTAAAAGCAGAGTACAATTAATATTTGGATAAACAATCGTACAGTTGTTTAAACATTACAAAACTAATAATATTAATCTCTTTAATATTAAATAATTTTATTTTATTTGCACTAGATAAAAATTTTTTAATTTAAATCCTTGTAGGTAAATGTTATAAACAAAACAAGTATATTAATAATTTTTAATTTATTTGTGAGTTTGTGAATTCTCTTTTTCTATATTAGTAAGTTTGAATAATTAATAATTTTCATTATATATGTAAACAATAATAAAGAAGAAAGAGTTTGAGCGATTTTAATAGGTGACAAACAATCAGTCTACCATTGAATCTGAAGCAATAAACATTACAGCTTTCTTATTTCGTATTCAAAAATTAAAATAATTCTTTTGACTATTTAACATTCAAGATATACATGTAGTACTTTAATGTACTCTATATTAATATTAATTAACAATTAGATAACGATAATTTATAAAAATCAAGCATATATAATTTTAACATCATATAGACATTAATGCAATGTTAAAATAAAATAATTTTAATCTTAAATTACAATCGATATAAATTTTAATACCCATTTTCATTCATGGCTAGTCATATAAACAATAACGAAGAAAAAAACTTTGAGAGATTTTGACAGATAAAAAACAATTAATATACCATTGTAAATAATTCAATCGATTATTTAACATTAATTTAAGATATGTAATAGCATAATATTGATTTCTACTAATTATTAATAGTTATTTATAATAATTGTAGTAAATTATATATATTTAATTTAATTATTAATTATTATAAATATAATTATAAATTATTATATATTTATAATAATTATAATTAATAATTTATAATAATCAAGTTTATATATTTGTTTAAACATTATATAGATCGTAAGAATCATTTAATATAAAATAATTTCAATTTAAAATTTCAATAGATTTAAATTTTTAATTTTTAATTTTTCTTTAAGTATTTAATTTTAATTAATATTAACAAAAAAGAACTTTTGACTGACTTTGACTGTTATCGAACCAATTATCGTTCTAATTTCAACGAGTAAACAGAAATTCTTTTTTTCTAAACAGATAAACTTAAACAATTTATAATTTCATTTATTTTACAATCATATAAACAATGTGTGATGTACGTAGAGTATAAATAACTGTTATTTAAAGAATATTTAATACAATCGTGAAGTAGGATTGGTGACAATCACAAGAAACTCATTTTTAATTTCTTACTTTAGTGAACATTCTTTATTATCTTGCGGCATGTGCAAAATGCGCAAATAAAGACTTAAAATAAGTACATTTTTATATTAAACATTTCCTCAATATTTTCAACAATTTTTTATTATAACAATGATAATAATTTTATTTTTATTTTTTTTTGTTTCAGAATATCACTGTAATAATGCGCAAAACGAAATGTGGCAAAAATAAAAATACAAAAATCGGGAGTGAAAACTCATTTATAGTTTCTTATTTTCCTCAATCTTTTTTATTATCTTGGGACAAGATACCCATCATGCAAAAATCAATAAAGTAAATATATTTTTATATCAAACATTTCTACAATTTTTTATTATAACAATTATACTAATAATTTTGGTTTTATTTTCTTGTTTCAGAATATCATTACAATTGCGTACAAAGCGATAATGAAATCGGTTGTTTATATCGTTAAAATAGAAACCAAAAAATCAGTAAAAACAGTGATTGTTCATTCGTGTTTCGCGATTTAAACAACGAGTGAACTTGAATCGATTGCATGTAATACAGTACTTAGACTCAGTGTTTGTTCGCAAAGATTTTTATTTTTTTAACAGTCGCAGAAACTATATTTATAAAAAACAATAGAGTTTCGCGAAGTAAATTCAATGATCGTTCATTAGTAATTAAATACTGTATATTAGAGTCATTGAAGAGAATCTCAATCAATTTGATGTCGACCTACTTCATTTTCAATCATCTATGTATCAACCTCCCTCCATTTAGACTTAAATCACGGACGAGTGTTATTGAGCCATCGCAGAATTTCTTAAATAGTAAATTATGTCGAGGCTGAAAATTCCTAATCGCCCGACGCAATTAATTGGTTGTAATTAAGTAATTAATTAGTAGAAAAGCATTGAATGATTTTTCGGGAATTTACTCCTGAATGATTTCGTGAATTATATTTTTTGATTTATTGATCAGGGTCTTCTTGTTTCATACTCGTTTATAATTATTTGTACTTTGACATAAATATTTGAGAATTTTCAGCATATTTGAGACATTTCTAATAAAAAAGACTGAGCAGGAAATATTTGCGATGAATAATCTTTGAATTATAAGCGATTCTGCATAATTTTCTTATAATATTCAGAATATTTGTTTATATCTTTAAATATAAGCAAATTTATATTTTTAAATAAAAATTAATTAAATATTTAATTGATTTGGTTGATAAAAAAAAATCTTAAAAGAATCATTGCTTTTGAAAAAAAAATGGAATGGAGTCATTATTTTTGAAGGAGAAAAATCGAGTAGAGTCATTGCTTATAAAATAGAAAAGACCATTAATAAAAAAAAAAGCCTTTAATAAAAAAAAGAGATTTGTAAAAGCACAACTCGTAAAGCCTATAATAAATCATTCAATTTTTAGCTTCGGATTTTCAGCAGTTAATATACTAATTCTCTTTTTTTACTTATTCTTTCTCAATTTTTAAGTGAATATCTTTTAAACAAAAGGCAGTAATTTTTATGCAAAGATCTCAGTTTTTTATATTTTTATTATTTGCTAATTTTTAGAGTTGTCAGTTTTTTCTTTCACTCTTTAGAATTATAAAAGATTTTAATTCTTTCCCATTATCATTTGTAATATATTAAATTCTTAGATCCTTTTCTTTTTTGCATATAAGATATGATTTGTATATGTAGTTACGGCAAAAAACAAAAAAAACCTATTAAAACAAAAAGCCATAAATTATAGCCTAAGAATGGAACAATAATCTACTTAGCTATTTAACTATTTTCACTAGCTTTTTTGAATCTTTCAAAAATGATTTTATTCACATTTTAATTTTGTTTCATTAGTCATATTTTATATTATTACTCAATGTACTTTTACGATAATGAATATAGGGAAGTTTAAAAACTTTCTTAAATCTATCATAGATTTAAAAAATTAAGATTACAAAAAATATTTCATCTTTGAATATGTATTCGAATAAAATTATTTCGTATTAATATATTTTTATTATTAAATTCGAGCCATATATTTTTTAATTAGTTTCGAGTCATACAAGTTTAATTTTTTTTGTTTTAAATTCGAATAAATTTATTATTATTTTTATAAAATTATGTTCTATATTAAAAGCATAGCGTCATCAGGACCATCGAGAGGTCAATTTACAGTCAAAATGCCGATTTATCAGCGAGGATTTGTTATATCGGTATATATCGTCGAGCTTCATTATTGAGGGATTTAAATTTTTACATGAAAATTTTGAAATTTTTTCGCATTATATATAGAGAAAGTATATCTCCGTTTATTTGTATAGATAGGATAGGAAAAACGCTCAAATGTCAGCGTCGACGAACTCATATATGTGAGTATTAGCGAGAGCGATTAAGTGGACTCTATTTTAATTTTCAAAATTCGTAGATTTTAGAATAAAAAAACCTGGATACACGATATTATTTTCGATGTAATGTATATCATATTTTATATGCCTTGATTCCATTTACATATCGAATTAATGACTGTTTAAATATGCTTTAACTATTTGTAGATGTTTAACTAGAAAGAGAAGATATAAAGTTTGTACGATTAACAAATACTTTTCAATTAATTTATTATCAGAGAGAAAGAGGAAGAGGGACAAAGAGAAGTATAATTTGGTATATGATTTTTTTATGCTTTTGTCAGATGCATTACTATTTTTACTATATATATAAAAATTTCTATCGTACACTAATTCAATTGTTAAATTAAGCGAAAGTTATAACCTACATAAATTTATGCATTGATGTAATAGGCATATGATAGAAACAGTGTTTCGCTATTACGTTTATAGTTCATATTTTGCCCATACGTGTCGCTGTACTCACATAGGCTACGAACGAAAAGTAGCAAATAGTTACTCAATATATTAGGTGGACCGGAAAGTAATGTCGTTTCTGCGCATGTCGATATTTGATCGTGATTAAAAATAAAAACTTGTTAAAAATTTATTCGTTTGAATTTAATTTAAGAAAGCGACATTACTTTCCGGTCCACCTAATAGGTTGAAATCTGTGATAGATTCGATCTGTTACTTTGCTATTTAAAAATATACGATTTTTGGAAAGCCTACAGATATGTGGATGTCTTGAATGAAACATATTTCCATTTATAGACATTTACTTTATCATACATTTATTGTGTTCGATTTTATATAATATATATATATAGTATTTGATCATACAGATTGATGAAAATCAACAATATATTTTTCAATTTATATGAAATGTAGATCAAATGAGTGGATTGAATTAAAATTTAATAAGGTTGATTCTGGTGAAACGACCAATCAACGAAATAGTTCAAAAGTTAATTATAGTTAATTATTATTCATGGATTAATCATATATCGTTATATTTTATTTTTCACAACTTATGTTAAATAAAAATGACCAATTATATTTATATAAAGTTATATAGTAACTCTTTCACGTAATATATTTATTTTTATATAATATATTATATTAAGAAGAATTTACCATATGTATATGAACGTGTGTGTGTGTTATGTGCATGAAAAATCCTGCATTTTTATTGGATGATTGGTAGAATCCTCTGTTCTCTAGAAACTTCGATTTGAACTCTTTGCTAATATGGTCATATAAGGTACGAAGTGACAGATAAATGATTCGTGATTGTAGATGATGTCTCGGACATTTTTTTCTATTTAAGTAGCTTACTTTATAAAAATTAAATTGATTATTAATTGCAATCTTTTAATATTGCATTTCGTTTCTGAAAAAAGGTGAAGTCATTTGCTGTTCTTCATAAACTTTATACGCATAGATAATCTGATTGGTTAACGGTAGAAGAGAACATTCTATCGCCTGTCGTTTCACGATTGATCGAATTTAAGACGAGTTGTCTTGGAATTGGTGATTATATTTGTGGCCTTGAATTGTAAAATATTGTTTGTGAAAATATTAATATCGTTACAAATGCAATCGTAAGCTCGATTGCATTTGATAAGAAAAAGAAGGAAAAAATATTCTCTGCACAGGCAATGATGCTTCCGAATGAGGTTCATAAAGTAATGAAGTAATAATAGATATTTGTTTTTTATAAGGATGTGACTAACGCATTTTTTTACGTTGTCTTTTAAAAGGTTCTCGCGTAGATGAGATTTGACTGATATATCCTGTGTACAACGCTAAGACACAACAGGAAGAATGTATTGCCTACAGTGGTTGCTTCCAGTATTATTAATACCCAAACCCGTAAATCCTGCATTGCTACAAACGCACGTTATGTTTATGGCACTTTATCTAATTGGATTCTTTTTGGAAAGAAAACCTTGTAATACGTGCGGTTTAGTTTTCTTAGTCGCAATTTTTCTGATATGTTACAGTGGTATCGGTAACTGCTTCCTATGGAGCAAAAATTGCGACACTGTAAGATGTGCTAATGGTTAAAATGATTTTATCATTCTTCCTAGATATTTCAATTGTACTTGTTTTTTGCAACTGTCTTCTTCAAGAATGAGTTTAAGAAATATTATCCTGAAATAGTCAATTTGAGTGATATATAAAATCTATATGTATTTATATAGAGTATGAACACAAAAATATAAGTTATCAGCTTACAGTTTTATAACAAATGTATTATAAACTCTTATATTTCATAACCTTCCAATTATGAGCTATTAAAGAATATCAAATATTTCATAAAATAAATGTATCGAGTTTATTTGTTAGGATTCGAAAACTAGAGCTAAATTCTTGATAAATTGTCTAATCTTCGAGAAAACTGTAAAACGTATACAATTTCATCCATTGACAAACTTACCATGTAGCATAGTTAACTCATGGAAATTCATAAAAATATAGACATTAACATAATTGTAACATTGTTATAATGATCTTCCTGATAGATAACTTCTTTTTAAAATATGGCATTTCAGTGACTTTACAAATGTGTTTAAATGATATTTCTTTAATGTATTAACAGAAAAGGTATATTCTAAATGTAAAATAAATAAATTATTATAAGTCTATTTGTTGTTTCTATTTGTTAATTATAGTTTTAAAGAAACATCTTGGATAAAAATTAATAAGAACAAAATTTTTGTAAAGATGGCATTGTAAATATTATATAAGAAAACTTAAAGAATGAAAATTTTATTCTAATAGAAATGACCAATGAATCTATCTATTTCATATATACAGATTAGATAGTAAAATTTGCATATTATAATAATAATAAATAATAATGAACATATTTACATATCAAATAGACAAGTACTAAAATATTATCTTTTGAAAAATTAAAACACAGTATTACATTAAGAAATTTTTATTATTTTATTTTACAAAAATTGCTTATGGGGCTTTTCCACGTCCAAATCCACCACGGAATTCTAAATCACCTGTACCAGCACCAACATCAGCTTTTTTATCACCAGGTCCAGCAAGACCTCCTGGACCTCGCCTGTATCCAGCACGGTCCTCTGTTGGTCTTGAAGCTTCGCTTCTTGGTCCTGCAGCTGGTCTGGGTCTTGCAGTTTCAGACCTTACTTGTCTTTTTAATGTAGACGGTACTATTTCAGGTGGAAGATGCAAGTATCCACGTAGATATTCAATACCCTCGTTCGTTAAATACCAATAGAAATGTCGCCATGCAAATTGTTCTTTGACATGTCCTCTGGATTTGAGAGACTATAAAATAATGAAAGAAATGTTATAAAAGTGAAAAAATACGCATAATTTCTTTTAAAATTGAACATCAAAATAAATTTTACCTGCATTGCTTTAATTACTTGTAAATTGGGGATTGATTCAAGTTCAGGGTGTTTAGGAGCATGGTAGTCTTTCTTTGCTACCATGACACCTTCTTTAAACAAGTACTCATATATAGCAACACGATTCTTTTTTGGCATCAACATCCTGAAAATATTATAAATATTTAATTCTATGTTATTATTCATAAGTTGAGATATTACCTACTATGTAATATCAGTTATTTAGTATGTAATCTTGCTAATTTGTTACTTTTAAAGGACCAATAGACACATGTTAGGTTGATAAACATGTACTATAGATAATAAAACATAATTACATTTGTAATATAGGCTAAACGTTAAAAGCAATTATATTTTCATCAGAAATGCATAGAATTCTAAATCTTTGTAACTTTTATAAGATCATTAATATATAATAATATATAATAAGTTTGAAAAAAGTATTATTAGTTTCTCAGATTCCATAATGTAAAAAATTTATCACGTGTCTGCATTAAAAATATTTAACATTGTTTGAAATAATATATTTCTAAAAACATATATAATTTAATAATATTAAGAATATTTCGCAATATCAACAGATTGGCAAGATTTCGGTAGATATTTAACATAAAAAAACGTACTTGATGTTTCTTTGTGGACCTTCTTTACAAGAGGAAAGACATACAGGGTGACCACACTAATATAGACAAACAAGGTTTGAGAAATGTTACCAATCAGTTTGAAAACGCCTAATGTCGCTATGTGTACGATTCTCTTCACTTAAATCAAAAGAAGATTAAATATAATATGTACAAATTTTATTTACTTTAATACAATTATTACAGACAATTGTTTGTGCTCATAAAAGCATAAATATAAATTTATGAATAATTAATCTAATTAATGATTACTCAACTTTTATTTAATCAAATTGTCAGTCATGCTATTAATATTCCCGTATAAATGTGCTGCCCTCTGTAATGTAAATTCGAAAGATGGTTTATAAATTTCGTGAAGCGCAAATATCAAAAAGATTGCGTATTATATATGTAGTATTTTTAATAATGTGAAGAGTATTTATTTAATTATAATATTATTTACATAGTTGTAAATAATATATATAATTAATCTAAATAACAAAACATTAAGATTGAAGTTTTTCATTTTTGGTGATTTATTTTCGTGCACTTTCAGCAAAATGTCACACAAAAACAATGAAGAATTTGATAATTTAAATAATTCTGTTAGAAGTACTTCGAAAGTGTTAAGTTTTTTTAATAAATCAAAACAGGTTATCATTGACAATGAAGTAAAAAATGATTCAAAGATTCTCGAATGTAATCCTGAATTGAATGCCATAAATAAGAATGAACGTTCATATGTAGAAAGTAATAATAAACTGTAAATATTTTTGTATGCTTTATTTAATCTATTTTAATCCTATTTTTTTTTATTAATAATATGAACTAATATTGATTTTAGTATGTTCAACGTTGTATTTGGTAAAGTAACTACTAAAAAACATAAAACATGGGACAGTGATGGATTTTTAGAAGTTTTTGGAAAAAATGCAGTTTTGAAGGTAATATGTTTGACACGGTACTATTTAATAGATTATTATAAGAATATACTGTATATCTCTTTTTATCAATAAATAGAATCTGGACGGTAGTATTATCGGTAGAACAACAGTCAATCCACAATGTTTAAATGAAGGTTTTAGATTATTTATTGCCAGTAAAGAAGTTGAGGTAAATATATACTGTAATATATTTGACCAATAAGTTAATACGTTAATATTAAAATCAATTTAAAATTATTATTAGATAATTAGCTTGGTATCACATGATGTAAACTTAATAGGTGATACTTGTCAAAGTATAGAAGACAAAGAACCACCAAGAAAGAGACTTAAAACTTCCAATGTTGGTTCATGTTTATTAGCAGTTTCACTTAAAAAGAGTATGAAATTTTTAAGTTAAAAATATTTATGGACAAATATTTCATTCCATTATTTTACAGTTTATCAATGTTATATTATAGGTTCTGAATTAACTTCTGAAGCATTGATAATGCCAAGTTTTTGCACTAAAATAGATGGTACTGATAATATTAGTCCAGAAACTGAACAACAAGTGTCTGTAGATGCTTGTCTGACAAATGTACTTAGACCTCATCAACGAGATGGAGTTATTTTTCTTTATGAATGTATCATGGGAATTAAAATCGAAAATAATTTTGGTGCTATTTTAGCAGATGAAATGGGTCTTGGAAAAACATTACAATGTATAACATTGATATGGACACTCTTAAAGAAAGGACCATTTGGTAAACCAATATTAAAACGTGTACTTATTGTGACTCCTAGCAGTTTGTGTAATAATTGGAAAAAAGAATTTATTCATTGGTTGGGCTCTCATAGGATTTTTCCTTTTGTTGCTGATAGTAAAAATAAGCCACAAAATTTTAAAAGACAACCAAGATCACAGGTACTAATTATTAGTTATGAAATGCTTGTTAGAACTTATGAAGAAATCAAAGAAATAAATTTTGATTTAATAATATGCGATGAAGGACATAGATTGAAAAATAGTAATATACAGGCAGCCAAGGTAATAGTATTGTTTTATTTTATTGAATTATTTTTTTTTAACAAGTTCACGTGTTATTATATTTAACAAATAAATTTTATGTTTCACAGCTTTTACAAGAAATTGATTGTAAAAGAAGAATTCTTTTATCAGGCACACCTATACAGAATGATTTACAGGAATTTTATACGCTCGTCAATTTTGTAAATCCTATTATTTTAGGTAGTAGTACCGAATATAAACGTTATTATGAAGATCCTATCATTACTTCTCAATGTCCATATGCATCGGATGATGCTCAATCTTTAGGAAATGAACGAGCTAAAGAATTGCGCGATGCAACTAATCCTTTTATCTTAAGACGAACCCAAGAAATAATTAGTAAATATTTGCCGCGCAAGCATGAAATGGTTATATTTTGCCATTTATCAGAAAAACAAAAAAACTTGTATTCCCTTGTGGTAGATACTTGGTTTGACAAGACAATATCGGAGAAAAAAGCTACACATTTAACAATTATAACAGCTCTTAAAAAGATTTGTAATCATCCAGTTTTATTTACAAAGGATAAAGATAACTTTTTAAATAATAATCCAGCATTTTTACAATTAATAAGAAATGATAATGCTTCGAATGGTAATGAAACAGAATATTGCGGTAAAATAACGATCGTTCGATGTTTAATGAGAAACTTAAAAAAAACTGATGAAAAAATAGTACTCGTTTCTTATTACACACAAACACTTGATTTTTTCGAATCTATTTGCAATGCCGAAGGACTGAAATATTGCAGACTCGACGGTAGTACACAAAATGTGGCAAGAATGAAAATTATAGAACAATTCAATTCCAAAACTGATGATAGTAGTAAGTAAACATATGTATTGCCATTATGCTATATCTTTTTTTTTATAAAGTTACATGATTATAATTACAGAAATATTCTTATTAAGTGCTAAGGCAGGTGGTGTCGGATTGAATTTACCAGGAGCATCTAGATTGGTATTATTTGATTCAGATTGGAATCCTGCGTCAGATGCTCAAGCTATGGCGAGAATATGGAGACATGGTCAAAAAAAGAGTGTTTATATCTACAGGTATGTTACAATTATAATATATAACTTGTTGTTTCAGTAATTTAAAAATTAGTAATTATCATCATCAATCCATTAATAAAAATACTAATAATAAAAATTCTTCATTATACAATTAATAGATTACTAATGTCAGGCACGATTGAAGAAAAAATATACCAACGCCAAATTAGTAAAACAAATTTAAGTGAAGTTGTTATTGATGCAAATAATCTTTCTTCTTTGAAACTATCATCCAGTGAATTAAAGGTAAATTAAAGTCGTTTACAATATTCGTACAATTTAATAATTGTCATTAAAATGATTTTCTTATCAACATGTTGTTTGTAGGATCTATTTACTTTAACATTAAACACAGATTCTTTGACACATGATTTGATGAATTGTATATGTGGCGATCAAGTAAATCTCAATGAATTATCAGATGAATGTGAGGATACAAACAGAAAAGAGTATACAAAAAATATTATAAAAAAAGAGCAATCTCAACAAAATTTAACTATTAATCAACTTCTTGATTGGCAACATTATAGAAAACCATTTGGGGACGATATGATGCAAGTAAGATAACAGAATTACAAGATATTAATGAAAGTATTATTATTTAAAAAATATTACATTTGTTTACATCTTTGTATCATCGTTAATTAGTTTTATATCATAATATAAGTAGTTATCACCATGATAATATATTTAATCACGATATAATATATATTTTAATATATATCTTTTTTTAGGAGCTTATGTTAAAACAAGTATCTAAACATATTTCATTCATATTTAAAAACTCTATAACTTAAAAATATGAATCAATTTAGAAGTTCTTTGATAATAAAATAAAATATAGTATAATCAAAAGTATATAACATTATATTATAATGATTTTTAAATTGAACATTAATGAAAATTAGAAATTATAATTTATTCTTATTTGATATAAAATTTAATAATTTATTAGTAACTTCCTTTGATTCACATATTTTCTTAAGTTCTTCCACTTCTGTCTTATTTACTTCCAACAAAGTTTGTTTATTCCATTTTTGTACTAAATATTTGATGGCCATTATAGACTGGAGTTTGATTTCAATAATTATTTAATTAGTATAAATGGTAAATAAAATGTTAAAATTGTGAAATTGAAATATATATACCTTTATAGAAAGTTGATTCAGTTTTCTTAGATATATCCATATTTCTTCTACATCTTTATATATTGTTCCAACTAAATGATATTCTTTAGCTTCTTTAGCATTCATTTTATAACCAAGATATAACATATCGCCAGCCTTAAAAATACAAATTTTTCAATATACTTTGTTAGAGAATGAGTTTATTTAATAGAATATTTACATGAAAAAAATAAAGATTTCTAATTAGATTAATATATAAATTTATAAATATATGTTACACTATTACTTTACTCGGTCCCATTATTTTTGGAAATGTATATGAAGAACAACCTTCAGCTATTAGACCTAATTTAGTAAAAGGTGTATAGAAATATGCCTTAAAAATATAAAAAATTAAACTTTAGTAAAAGATTTATATATTGCTTCTTAATTATCACACATAATGATTCAGAGACGAAACATCAATCTAACAGCTGATTAAACAAAATAATTTTAGTGCAAGTTTGTAATGAAATTACTTTTTCTGAAGCATATACTATATCAAAAAGTCCAAGCATAGTGGTTCCAATACCAATAGCTGGGCCATTTACAATAGCTACCAATAGTTTAGGAAAGGTAATCAGAGCATCAATAAAATTTCTGTAAGAATTCAAATTTATAAACTTATTATTGTGTTAAATATATACTTATATAAAATATTAATGTAATTTATAAGTAAAATTATATTCACTTAAAATGTATGAAATTTTCAATTGAATATAATACGTTAATATCATTTCCACTAGTAAAAAAATCTCCTGCTCCAGTTAAGACAACCATATGTATGCTATCGTTTTTTGAAGAATCATTTAAAATATTTTCTATTTCTTGGTACATCTGTATAATAATATATATAAATGTTTTTTTTTTTATAATATCAGCAAAACGGAATTATAAAGAAATATATACTAATATTTTAATTAATGTTAAAAACATATTACCTTTATTGATAAAGCATTTTTTTTCTTAGGTCTATTAAGTATGATCTTTTGAATTCCATTCTCTAAATTAACTTTTAGAATATGTCCTTCCATGTTTATTGCATATATCTCAATATCATTATAATGAAGTCATCATCTGATCCGTAGATAAAGAAATATTTTATATATATATACAAATATAAATTTCTTATAAGCACTAGTATTCGTACAGAAAATATTACTAAATAGAATTTTTCTAGTTTTACAGAAAAAAACTATTTTAAATCATTTAGAAAAGTAATATTTTACGCAAAAAAATCCTATTTTTTACCATTTATATTTTTCTGACGTAAGAGCAAAATTTGTGTTAGAAAAAAATTATAAAAATAAAAAACAAAAGAAAAATTTACTATATATTTTTAAATAATGATAAAATTTTTGAAATTGATTAATAGTTAGCGCTTCGTTCGTTCTGAATTTTGGTACGAATTTCTGTTTCTCGTTTAGATGTACAGATGGCTGCATGAAATCAACAACCGGTTGGAACAAGTGCAAAAGAGTAAGGTGGTTATGCTTGTGAGAAGTCAGCGTCTTACGTGAACAATTTAATAAAACATGTAAGAAAACAGAGCACGGCATATCTACGTCGCGATTTTTACGTTTTTTTTTTTTTTTTGTTGAAAACAATTGTGAAGACGCATTGAAGCGCGGTTAACATCGTTTTCGATCGCCTTTCGAAATTGGTTTTATCGTTCGTGACGTTACGATTTGGAAGCTGCAAGGGCAAACACGATTCGCTGTTTGAGAATGAGCACGAACAATGTGCAGGCACTTTTTGCGTGCTCAAGATGTTTCTCCAGGCATCCTTTCGAGGAGCTTTCGCCAGGACAACAATTATGCAAGGTATATTTTTTCGATTATAATTCGTTTATAAGAATTTATGCGCGAGATTTCGTACTTCAGCGGGACGTTTCGAAGCGTCTCTTTCGTTTCGTAGAAATGGATTGCTAATATTAGAACATTTAATATCATTGTCCGTTTAATGCATGATTAGTTGTCTACTTTAGTTTTGAAAACTTTTCTATTATTCAAGATAATTTACAAATAATACTGGATCGATGAATCTATTATAAAAAGTTTTAGAAATCAAATTGATCTTTGTTGAATAGCTTATTAGAAGTTAAGTTTTATTTTTTATTGCTTTAGGAATGTAGAGGCGCATTCCCTGTTGTGAAATGCACATACTGTAGATCGGAATTCCAACAGACGATGTAAGTATAGAAACAAAGCAATGTTTTGATAGATGTAGATATAGTCTTTCTATATAAGAATTATACTTACAAATTATTGTTCTTTTTATTTATATAGAAAAGGAAATACAAGTACCATATGTAAAAAGTGTGAACAAAATGTCAAGTCATATGGAAAACCATCAGCGTGTGAATATTGCAACACAATTGCTGCATTTATTGGCAGTAAGTGTCAACGGTGTACTAACTCTGAAAAACGTTATGGTCCTCCAGTCACTTGCGAGCAATGCAAACAAAAGTGTGCCTTTGACAGACAGGATGAAGATAAAAAGGTAAAAGGTTATTTAATTTTTTTAAAAGATTATACTTTATCACAGCGAAGGAGACATCTTCAGCTGTTCAGATACTATCGCTATTACTTGCGACATTTTTTGTATTAACATAATGCTGACGTATATGTTTAACTTGTATTAAGAACGTGTTATCAATTTTAGTTTTTATATATTCTTATGTGCAAATATATTCTTTTCAGATCATTTTCTATAAAGCAATATATTATTAATAACATTTATCTTGCATGTATTAACTTACATACATATAAAGATTCCTAAATTGATTACAATGTATTTTGAATATATTTAATGCTTTGTCTTTCCTCTATGCTTTGTGCACTTTTTTGGAACACAAGAAATTTTCATCTATAAAATTGGTATTGCATGTTATTATAACATTTACAACTGTCTATACAGATATTTTTCATGCAGAGTTTCTTAGATTTCCATATTTCCTGTGTTCCTGCATAACGGAGGGTAGCTGTGCACACTGTTCTCTTTTGATTCGTATATCTTTATCGGATCAGTGTGTATAACTTCCTGTCACAAATTCTTTTCTTTTTTTAGAGAACGAATAAACATCAAGTGTAGTTTCTACAGCTAAGACCTCTCTCTTGTTGGTATATGGTAATACATTAAAGTCGCAGTAACGCTACTGCTAGTTACCATGGTATTTTTGTTTTTAGGTTGACGGCAAATTGTTATGTTGGCTATGTACTCTGTCATATAAGCGGGCCTTGGCTAAGACAAAACAGTCAGATGCAGAGAGGAGAGCACATATGAAACTGGCTCAACAACGGGCCGCTAAACACAAAGAACAAAAGTAATTATTCAAATACCTAATGTCACAAGCTAACATTATGCATAGTAATTTTTGAAATCTTGGCCAAGATTAAAATTTTTGTCGCGTGTAAGATATATTCAGTACAGAGAAATTCGATTTATTACATTTTCAATATAAATTTCTTATTTGACTTGATTTATTTGTTATAGATTAAAAGGTCACAATAAGAGGCCACACAGAGTTGATGTCACAAAGCTACCACCACAATCGGAAGGAGGGGATACGAATGGCCCTACTCCGGTTAAAGCGGCACGAATGGCCGGTGTACATGATCCCCACGATCCAAACAGTTCGGATCATGTGGTCGCAGTTACACAACTCAAAGAGAAAATAGCTCATCTTCAGAAACAAATCAGTATCAAAGATGGACAACTCCTAGCTAAAGACAGACAGGTCTATATAAATTTAGTACCATTTACAGCTTCTCTATTTGTTAATAAATCACAGTCTCGTGTTATATATAAATTTGACTTTTTGTTAAACGCAGATAACGGAATTAAAGGCAAAAAATTTTACATCCGAGACAGAACTACGTAATAAAATGAAAGCAACTGAAAAAGAATACGAAGCTAAAATATCTAATATGCAACATAAGATATCCAGTTTATTAAAAGAAGTTGCATCGTTATCGAAGACATCCAAACGAGGTGACAGAGTAGCTGCTACTAAGACTGAAGCTGGGACCAACAGTGGAAGTGGAACAGACAGCCCTGTACCTTGATAAGGTAGGAGATTGTATCTATTGTCTAATACACTTACCGACTTGATTGCAATTGCAAGGTTAATTGATTCGATCGAATAGAGCGACATTATGTATGTTACGTATTAACTATAAATAATGATCAAAGTATAGAGATATCTCACGATTAATTGTATTATTTTTCATTCTTTATATAATTTGTTGCGTTTGTTATTCATGTTGGCAATTGTTAAACAACTAATATAAATTAATATTTCGGATTAATAATCAGAGTGTTCGTAATCCTTTTTTTCTTTGCATGATTTATTGATTTTTCAAACGGTATAACTGATTTCAAATCGACAAGATAACAATACGAATACCACGTTAGATTTTCTAAACTGTTTGCAGGAACTTCGTTAGCTGCAACAACATACTCGAATGCCCATAACTTCATAAATCATGTGGTACATTACGAATAGTTAATTGTTTCCATTAATAAAACAAAATTGTATTATTTTTCTAATTACTATAGGAATGTATACCATCTTCGATGTATACATGAAAGTCTTGTTTACTCCTTGTGCGGGAGGACGAGTGCGTGTAAAAGTTATATATAAGTTAGATAGTCTTTTTCTTAAATAATTCGCGAGTGACAATTCTGCTTACATGCAAAATAAGTTTTTGTCGTGGAAGAAAGAAATTTTGAAGAATTTAAGCAACGTCTCCCAGGATTAAAAAGCGATTTTTTTTATGTTCTCGAACGAAATAGCGTTAAAAAATAAAATAAAATAAATAAATAAATAAATAAATAAATAAATAAATAAATAAATAAATGATGTTATATGTGAATAGATTGTATGAATTGAATGATACGGCTCTCGTAACATTTTCTTATTTATAATAACAATAATGTAACGAAAATGAGCCAAGATATGGTGATTGTGTAGGTCAATTTACAATAAAACATTTAAAAGCATTCATCACCGTTGTGTCGGTACTTGGAGTAACCTTTTTACACATAAAATTTTCATTTCTTTTAATATTAATTAATCATCTTTTTTCAATCCATATTTGTTACTTCTTTTTTTTCTTTTGAAAAGAATATAGGAGGATACATATATATTTATTTAGGTATCAAAAAGGTAGTGACATGTTCATGTAAATATCCAACAGCCATATATTTATTTTTTATTTTAAGAAACAAATGCTAATTGAGCATTACCTATTCAATAATTGTAATGATAATAAATGCGTAACAATTTACTATATACGAAGTGTAAGGATAATTAACTTTTAATTTATAGTCGTTTAAATATACGTACGAGAGTTGTACACGCGTGTACAAATACGGTTGGAGTTTATTCTTTATTTTATTGAGAGATGATAAGAACTAAATATTGCTTGTTTGTTGCCGAGGCGTTTAGTCTCTCGCTTTCTTTCGATATTTTACTACTTTCAGCATATTTACACGGTTCTCTCTTTTCCTCTTTTTCCTCCTCTCTATCTATCTATGTACCTACCTATTTATCTATTCATTTCTTTCTCTCTCTCTCTCTCCCTCTCTTTCTCTCTCTCTCCCTCTCTCTCTCTCTCTTTCTTTTTCTTTCATTTCATTCCTACTCTCTTACAACTTTTCTATTGATATCATCCCTCGTTTTTTTTTCTTATATTTCATTTCATTTCGCTGTTTAAACCTAAAATACTAGGTTTCTCTTAAATCCGTTTATAATATTTATAGTGCGCTTATTACAGGCAAAGCGGGAAATCAAGAATCGATATGGAATAATACCTTTCTTATAAGAGCGTTTCTGGAAACCTTATATCGTTCGGATGTACGCATGCATGTAAAGATTACGAACGTAGCAAAAATACTTCTTGATCTACGGTAATAATATCGAGTAGATATATCCTTGTGAAGTGTCGCACGAAGCGTGTACCGATAATGAAGCGATGAACAAAGAATTCGTCAAAAATATTTATCGTCGAAACTTCGTCGACTTTTCAAAAATAACTTTCTTTCTCTCCCTCTCTCTTCATCCCTCTCTTTCTTTCTCTCTCTTTTTGTCTCCCTCTCTTTCTCTGTTTTTATTTCAATATCGCGTTGGTCAAGCACTATGCATACGTAGACGAATTTTTCCATAACGCCTTCATAAGCTACCCAAGTTTTGTACACTTTGCATAAATAATTAATTGGTATAGCGTGCACTATATGTACAAGTTTCTATAAATAAGAAATGTTTTAAATGGAATGCCTGAGTCACCCACGTTGCCTGTCACATGTAACGTATCAGCAGGTTTAATGAATATTTCAAGGCTTTATATGTTTTTCGATTGGCTTTGTTCGGATTAGCGTTTATTTGGAAGAAACGTTCACGGAGGAACTTTTATTTATCTATTCTTCTTTTTTTCTTTTTGGTTTTTTTCTTTCTTTTTAAACTCATGTTCGTGTAAAATTCTTGATATATATATATATATATATATATATATATATATATATATATAAACTGAAAACAATTCGTAGATATTTCAAATGAACGAAATGAACTTTCCGGACCGAACGTTGTGTCTTTTTCTTTTTCTTTTGTGTGTGCGAGATTTTCTTTCCAATCGCCTCTCTTAACAACTAAATACATAATACATATATGATGCATGTTGAGAAAGCTAGCATTCGGAATAACGTTCTTAACGCTTTGTGCTTACATATCTGGAATCACTCTTTCGTTACCCTAGATCTGAAATCGTTTCGCATTTTTACCTGGCCTTCTTTTCTTTTATTATAATTAATATTTTTATTATTAATATTATTATTAATATTATTATAATTATTATTATTGTTATTATAATTATAATAATTATTATTATTATATTATTATTATTATAATATTATTATTATTATTAATATTATTATTATTATTATTATTAATATTATTAATATTATTATTATTATTATTATTATTATTATTATTATTATTATTATTATTATTATTATTATTATTATTATTATTATTATTATATTTTAGAACTCTTTAGACGCGTGAGAGCCGTGCGTATATCAGTCTGTGATACGTCGTTAAGTATAATCATTACAAATCGATGATTCAAAAACACGTTCGTTCCTTCTTTCTTAGCACTCTTACAAAGTTGTTCCTTTTCTTTAATATTCGTCAAACGATACGAGTTTCCTAATCATCGATCGGTAAAGACATATGTACGTAAATGTACATACATACATACATACATACATACATACATACATACATACATACATACATACATACATACATACATACATACATACATACATACATACATACATACATACATACATACATACATACATACATACATACATACATACATACATACATACATACATACATACATACATACATACATACATACATACATACATACATACATACATACATACATACATACATACATACATACATACATACATACATACATACATACATACATACATACATACATACATACATACATACATACATACATACACACACATACATACATACATACATACATACATACATACATACATACATACATACATACATACATACATACATACATACATACATACATACATACATACATACATACATACATGCATACATACATACATACATACATGCATGCATGCATGCATGCATACATACATACATACATACATACATACATGCATGCATGCATGCATACATACATACATACATACATGCATGCATGCATGCATGCATACATACATACATGCATGCATGCATGCATGCATGCATACATACATACATACATACATACATACATACATACATACATACATACATACATACATACATACATACATACATACATACATACATACATATATATACATACATACATACATACATACATACATACATACATACTATATACGTATGTTGTGTATTTGTATATCGCGGTAGGCTGCGCTTACGGTGATTTCTACGTTGACAAAAATTGACGCTTTCTTAAAATTAGTGGAAGTACAAAGTGTGGTGTTGCCTATAAAAATTGATGGAAGATTGTAAAATACAGATAAAGGTGACCACGATAATAGATCATAGATTATGGTAAGGAGTGGCGATTTCCTAGGACAAAATGTTTATTTCTTTGTCTTTCAGGATAAACGATCGATCACTTAGTTTGCTTTTGTGCGAATCAATAAGATGAGAATATTATTATTCTTAAGTATATAATAATTAATCGGCGTCATTTGGTAACACTACATAATTTGAATGACGGAAGTTCAGAATCTGTCGGTATATTTTCTCAAAGTATACATATTTCCTTTGATATAAATGCGTATATTAGATAGGCCAAGGATATATGTACTGTTTGTGCATAAGAAATCTTTTTTTCTCTTTCTTTTTCTTTCTTTTCTTTTTACTCTGAATCACCGTGACTCATCATCATACACGAATTGCTTTCAAAGATCAAATAAATTCCCGTGCTTGGACTCGACGAAGAAATTTTTTCTAAAACGCCATATTCCTTTTAAGAAGAGGGAATCGAATTGTTATATAGTGTTTTATCGCATTTCATAAGCTTTGACTAGATTTTTTTTAACACGACTCACGCGGTCGCTGTTGTCGTTATATTAATTTGTCAAAATTATCAACGAGCCCAAATTGATCGTAACGAATGCTTTTTTTTACAACGATCCGATAACGTCGACTCGAACGATCGATAACGATCTCATGTAATTTAATACGAAAAATGTTTTCTCTCACTATCGAGTACACAAGTTATCATACATATACATACGTATGTATGTAGAAATAGTTAAATGGATACACTCCGATAATCGAACTTTTTTTTTATCTATGTAAATGCTGGAAGACAAGTTCGAATAAGCTACGAAAATTCTGTTTCCTCTTTTTTTTTTCTTTTCTTTTTTCTTTTCGTTAAAACAATTCATCTGGTTATTGCACTCGAAAGATTCGAAGAGGAAAAAATATACATTTATGTATACATATATATTTATTCGAATCGATATTAAGCTTTCTTTTCTCGTTGAAATGATTCACTAATGTTCACTTAAGCGGATTCGATAATTTGATAAAATACATACATACATATGTACGTACATACGGGCGACTTATGTACGTATGTAACATCCCTTCCGTGAAATAACTAGCGATTTTGTCGCGTCTCTAGTACGGTCGATTGGATAAAAGAATCTTACAATCTACGATATTTCTACCTACAAACCTATTAACAACGATATGTTATATATATATGTGTGTATATATACATATATATATATATATATATATATATATATATATATATATATACATATATGTAAATTTAAAATTAATTAAACTATAATATTCGAAGTTATATTCGCATAAAGTTAGAACGATAAAAAGAAAATGTAGTAGATTTCTATCGTAGATTAAAAATGGTGATGAAAAACTTATTTAAACTGACATAAACCGATCGATTGAAATTTTGTCTTCGATAGCTTAGCGTCTGACTTTCTTTCCAAGAGACACGACCAAGCGTACCCATCCGTTCGCTGAACTCGGTGTAATAATAATTAGTTTGTTACGTGAAGCACGTGCGTTTCTTTATGGCAATAAATTACCAAGAGTTTGTGCACGATCGAGCGAGAAGCGACGAAGGAGGAACGATAATACCTAGACATTTCCACTTGACGATCGATCGTTGCTCGTGCGCGAAATCATACTTGGATTCTCCGACCTCCTCTGCGACCGTTCTTATTTCTCATCTTTAAAGGGACCGACGACCAACCAACCGACCAATCAACCAACCAACCGACCGACCGACCGACCGACCGATTGATCGATCTCGTGAATGAACTCGATCTCTTGTTTCGTAGCGTCGCAAAAGAACCCGTATAAACACGATCGCATGATCTACGAAATTAGCCGAGAGTATGCAAATGACCTTTTTTTTCTATTCTTTTTTTTCTTTTTTCCTTTTTCTTTTTCTTACTTTTCTTTTGAATTTTCTCTCCGAACGTGATTCACGAAGCGCAGCCTACCGATCGGCAACCTACGACGAGGTACATATAATGTATCGTATATAAAGGTATTCATAAATTAGACCTCCTTAAATATTACCTCATTTTAAATTATAGAATAATTTATAGTAATGTTAATATATACAGGTACAGGTCTCGTATAGTTGCAGTCGTGTCGTCACTGGTTGTTCATTGTGTCTTTTGCTCGCGCATTTTCGAACGTGCTTGGCGGGTGCCGACAAAATCCGCCGTTTTGGTCGACGTGTTTCGCATCGACGTTTAAATATCCTCCACGTGAGTGCGCGCGCGCGCGGACGATTTCTTTTTCTCTTTCTCTTTTTCTCTCTGTCTCTCTTTCTTTCTCTTACATGCGTACACAGATACGTACACAGATACGTACACACAGAGATGCTTTTTGGAACAACAATTCAATTAAGGAATTTTTTGAGCTTTGGACTTGAAAAAAATTTTTCCTGAAACGATCATCTCTTCTTTCTTTTTTTTCTTTTTTTTTTATCATTGATTGATACGATAAGAGAGAGATAGAGATAGAGATAGAGATAGAGATAGAGATAGAGATAGAAATAGAGACAGACATAGAAATAGAGATAGAAAAAGATAGATAGATAGATAAATAGAGAGAGAGAGAGAGAGAGAGAGAGAGAAAGAGAGAGAACACGAGTCAGTTTCATGGAATTATACATTCTTCTTCTCCCTCTCTTTCTTTCTCTTTCTTTCTGTCTCTTTTTCTCTTTCTATCTCTTTCTTTCCCTCCCGCTGTGTTTTATGGCGCGCGTGCACGCACACGTTTTCGAATGGACCGTGGAAAGGTAACCGAGAAACGATGGACACGATTTTCGAGATTTTCCCAGAATGGCAGAACGACGCTCTTATTATCGATATTTCTAGAACGTTAATACTATCAAACTCGTTATCTTTCCTTCCTTGATAATGCTACAATAGAAAAAATATGGAAACGAGTATATGTACAAGGAACTTTATATGGTCCTAGCCGAGTAACGACGTACTTGCGCGCACATTAGCACACACACACACACTTTCTCTTACTCTTCTTTTCCTTTCTCTTTTTCTTTTTCTTTTTCGTTTTCTTTTTCTTTTTCTTTTTTTTTTTTTTTTTTTAACTTTTCCCTTCGACGTTTCCTTTTTTCTTTTTCCTATCTCTTATAATACACTAAAAACAACGAAGCTCGAGGAGAGTATTTAAGTAAAACTTAGATTGTCTTTCATCAACGATAATGAACTAAATAACAATATTTAACAATATTTTACATTCTATCCATTACTTTTTGTTCCTATACCCTTTTCTCATGCCCTCTTCTCTTTCTCTCTCTTTTTCTTTTTTTCTTTCTTTTTCTTTTTCTTTTTTCTCCTTATCCTCCTCCTCTTTGCCCCTTTCGAATCGATAACAACAATTGGAGAAAAGTCCTTCTATTCACTCGTCGCATCCTTTAAACAGTGTTTACGCGAAATGGAACGTTCTTAAGGCATCTCGCACACGAGTCTTAATAAACAAGGTACACTATTTCTCTCTCTCTCTCTCTCTCTCTTTTTCTTCCTTTTTCTTTTCTCACTCTTTCTTATTTATCTTTACTGCCACTCTGGATAAAGGTATCGCTCTGGTGCGAGCTCGGTCAGCCGAATCTCGTTTACGTTTCCACGGCTGGATTTTGCGCCAGGGCAAAAGGGTCTGCTCCCCGTCCCTTAGGTACATTCGATTATATGTGGCTGGGAGGTTTCTATTACGCTTGGCCTCGCCACCGGGTTCTCCAAGTTATGAAGAGATGTAGTGTGCGGCCCATGCGTCGATCCGTGCCTCTCATAGTTCTCGATGTGTTCCAATTCGCATTCCTTCGGTATGGTTCCTAAAACGAAGAAAATTTTCTTCGTTTTAACATCGCCAATAAAAACGACGAATAATCCTATGAATTTTCCATGTCAAAGTTTAAAATTTTTCATATATTTAAATATCAAATTTAATAATAGGTATTTGAAAACAAAAAGTGTGTGTGTGTATATATATATATATATATATATACATACATACATATATACATACATATATATATATATATATATATATATATATATATATATTTATATATAGGTAATAGTTCTTGTTTAATTTGTGTAAATAAAATGTTTCAAGTAAATTGCAATGTAAATTTATGAGTAAAGTGAATTAATGATAAAGTGCAATTGTCTGAATAAATTGCATTTGTTCAGAAATAAATCATAAGACAACGGTTTAAAATAAGACTCTTAAAGATCTTTCTTCTCCTTACTCGTCGATGTCTAAATATGAAAATCTAAATAAGTTAATACCATGAAGAAAGAAGAAAGTGAAAGAGAACACTTACCAACATTCATGTCAGGACCATACTCGTAATATGTTGGCGAGCCAACGGCAGCTGCGAGAGCGAGTTCATCCTCGATACTGTTCGGTCTGCAACTGGTCGTTTTCCAATGAGTTCTCAGGCCACTCGCACTAATATATTTTTTGTCGCAGCCTTGACAAGTGTAAGGCCTTTCGTTCGTGTGCAGTCTCTTATGTAGCTTCAAATGAACGAACTGGGTGAATTTCGCTGGGCAAAGGTCACAAGCATAGGGCTTTTGGCCGGAGTGTAATCTGAGATGAGTCTTTAGATTCGAAGTAGAACTGAACCTCTTTTTGCAGATCTCACACTGATGAGGTTTTTCGCCTGCGTTAAAAATAATATCGTTTCGTTAGTTTATGATCACGGAATTACGATATTTATTTGAGTTAGAAAATTCACTTACCAGTATGCACGAGATGATGTTTCTGTAGATGCGCCAGTTGCGTGAAGCTTTTGGTGCAGACATTGCACTTGAACGGTCTCTCACCGGAATGCGTTCTGAGATGAACTTTAAGATTCGATAGTTGACCGAAGGTCTTACAGCAGACGTTGCACTCATAGTGCATCTTTCCGTCTTTCTTCTTAAGTGGATAAGGCAACGACCTATAACCCCTCGATCCCTGAGAGTTCGGGCTGAGCGAGCCACTTTGCGAGCAACCATGATCGTCCGGGGAGAGAGAACTCGCCGGCGAGTATCTGTGATTGAGGGACCCGGAGGAAGTGGAATTCGCGTGAATGGTAAGTCCAGGATGATGGCCAAGGTGAAGATTGTGCGTGCCTGCGATCAGGCCAGCCTGACTCCCGTCGATCTGCATAGTCGTCGAGGAGGTTGGAAGTTGATGACTACTGCTTGGAACATCAAGACGTCTACCGTCCGACGTTCTTTCGCCATATACGAGGGCGCCGTTGTTACCGGTGCTCGGGGTTGGAGAATAAGCCGTACAGTTGATCGACAGAGGAGTCGCGCCATGATGAAGTGTTCCGTTCTGATGATAGAGACCGTACGAATAGGGAGAAGGTGATTGGATCGGTGATATCGGCGAAACTGAGTTTTGATGATTGCTGCTAGCACTACCGACACCACCATTACCACCACCACCACCAGCACCACTACCACCACCACCACCACCACAGCCACCGACACTACCACCGACACCATTACCACAACCACCATTAACAACACCACCACTACCACCACCAGCACTATTACTACCACCGGAATTTGAATAGACCGAACTCGACTCTATTTGACAACCTCCGGAATTGGCCGAATATAAAATCGTCGGTGTCGAGGAGGGACACAATGGTGGAGAATTTGCTGGAGACGGGCTCTTCGTTTTTCGTTTTGGAAGACAAGAGGAGCTTGCGACATTCGAAGACGATGTCAAGATCGTGCTCGAGGGAAGCACGCCGCTATTCGAATGCGGATTAATGCCTGGGCTGCTCGATGAGTGCACGTTTCCAATATGAGCCGTTGCATTTCCGTTGTTCGTTCCCGTACTCGAATGAAGATTACCCGTGCTCGAATGAAGTCCACTGGTTGGACTCGGGATTGGTATGGGACCATGATTACTGGTGGTGGAATTTACGCAGGATTCAGTCTGCATTGGTAAATTTGAACTTGAGTCCGGACTGCACGGTAAGATATTGCCATAACGATGAGACTTTTTGTATGAATAAGCCATCTCCGTGGGGCTCGAAGGCGGTGGTGTCACCGAATCTGCCGTGTGACTCTGATGATGGTTCTGTTGATGATGCTGTAGCTGATGTTGTTGCTGATGTTGATGCTGTTGCTGTTGCTGCTGTTGTTGTTGCTGTTGTTGTTGTTGTTGTTGTTGCTGCTGCTGTTGCTGCTGCTGCTGTTGTTGCTGATGATGATGGTGGTGATGTTGATGATGATGATGTTGCTGCTGTTGCTGCTGTTGCTGCTGTTGTTGATGGTGATGATGATGAAGATGAGGATGATGATTGTTGTTATTGTTGTTATTATTGTTATTGTCGGTGCTATTTCGTAGGAGAATATTTTCGAGGATGGAACTGCTAGGACTCGTTATGTAGGGTGGTCTCGTCGTGGCAGGTACGTTGCCTTTGACCTCTGGCTCGTAAAACGGCTTCGGATTTTTTTCCGTCTCGTCCTCGCTTACCATCGACAGAAGAGTCGTTTTTTGAAGCATCACAGGCGACACGGACTTTTGTATCTCCGGGCTCATCGCTCTGCTTGCTATCTCGGGATTTTTCTCCTTTGCTGTACCATCCAAATTGCTCTTCGTACCGCTTTGAAAATTACCGTACGTCTTCGTTATCTTGATCTTTACCTTTCTGTATTCGTTCTTCGCGGCCACGTTGTCCGGCTTTAACGGTTCGTTGCTACACACGGAGGACTTTGAGTTCTTGCTAAAGTCGAGAACGTAGTTGTTCTCCGAATCGGACTCGCTGCTCTCCTCCGGCGGGGTCAAGATCTCGTCGTGGTAACCGTTCGAGTGGTAACCTTCGTCGGACCTCACGGAACCATCCGTTGGCGTCATTTGCGATCGTCTCTCGTAAATCGACGAGTCCTTCAACGGTGATACCACGTCGACGCTTGCCGAAAGTTCCGTCGGTAACGCCGATTGCTGTACTTGCTGACCTATCTCGAGAATAATATGGAACAAAAAGGAAAAACAAATAAAAAAAATGAAAAAAAAAGAAAAAAAAAAGAAAAAAAAAAGAAAATCCGATAATATAATATCGATAATTCACATTTATAATAAAAAAAAAATAAATAAATAAAATAAAAAAAAATAAAAAAAAAAATGAAAAATGAACTTACGTATTCTTTGAAGCATCAATTCACCAGTCAACGGGTAATTCAGACGTTCCGCGAACTCTCTACAATACCATACTAATAGTTCTTGATTCGGAAGTATCGGCTTAATCGTGTAAAAATAAATGTTCATCTGCAACATAAAAAGTAAAAGAATATAATCGTCTCGTCGTACAGATAATAAATGAAGGATAATATCGAAGTCGGTTATATGTCGTTTTACCTTATATTGACACGCTATTAGATTTTGCGATTCGGACGAGTACGCTGGGTTTACGTAACGCATCCAATTCGACTTTTGAACGTCGTAACCATCGATGTAGTAGAACAACTCGTTGTTCTTGTATACCTGAGAATTCGCAAAGATCGCGTTATTACTTGCCCGTTACATATGACAGCCTAAGAAAATTGTCTTTCATTCCCGGTTATATTAACAGGTACGTATAATCAAAGTTCTTAACATAATATGTGAATTAACGTTTATATGCGTCATTTTCTTCGTAGAAAATAATCGATTAAAGTACAAACAATAAGTTTACCAGAAGGAAATTAGAAAATATTAAAAAGTTAACGTAAGAGTCGTTTGCAAGGAATCGAAGTTCATCGTAACGAATTGATGAGTTACGAGTCATCGATGGCTTCGCGGCTTTCGTTTTAAGGCTTGCTCGATCTGTTAAAACCAGTTTCTGGTCTTGGTAGTCTTTTCTCTCTCTTTCTCGTTGCTGTGTACGCGCGCGCACAGCATCTTTGGTTTCCCACCTCGTTCGTCGATCTCGTAAGAGCACGTATGCGCGTTTTCAACTTTTCCTTTTTTTTTTCTTTTTCCTTATGTTCTTTTTTTTATCGATACTCATATCGTCTCGTGTTATCGACGATAAATTTGAACGTTCGTGTGTACGAAAAGATGATGTTTTCTAATCGATTCTAATTCTTACCCTCCAAAAGTACTTCCTGTTTGCATCAGCGGGCACCGAATCCTTGGTATAAACCTGGCCCACTAGTGGTCCGAAACGCGTACCCTTTGGGATATAACTTGTACTCCAGACGCCCAACATCTATGCATAGATCAAACGAGATAGACGATTAACGAGATTGTATTATATTATCTTATTATAATATTTATTCATTTATTACGAATTACGAGTTCACTTCAATGAAATCATTAATCCGAATCCATGCTCGTTTAATAGTTTCTTAAAATCATATATTTTCATATGAGTATGCAAATAACAAAATTTTAACTATTATCTCAACCTCGATCTAACATAATCTATCTATTAATACACGAACATAACGGTGATAAGTGGGTTAGTATTTTATTATATTTACTAGTTTCCATAGAGCATATTGCACGTCGATACGGGGAATGAAAAATAAGACGATCGCATTCGTCTTAAAAGCAAATGAAAATATTTCCTAGAATTTCCCCTAGATTCTTTTTTTCGGAAACAGTAAAAAGGCTTTTCCATCATAATAATATTCCTCGCGTCTCGGTTACGTTTTAAGCGTGAACTTTAAATGCACTTACGTTCGGTCCATGATCACACTTTACAAGTTAATTAGCTTTGTGATGCTCGATCGAGTTTGATAAAATACTGTCCCTCCTTTCGTGTACACATTTACGAGCATGGAATCAGAAGTTAGGTCAAATATCGATCGATACGGTGACTTTCGTTATTCTATGGGGGTACGATACGACGTAGAAACGATTACAAGAAAATAGATGAGTTAGCATCGTAATCGTAATATAGCGTTGTTCGATCGTCTCGCGACTCTCACCGAGGAGGTCTCGAGAAAGGATTCTTTCGTGGATGAACGTACATCGTTGAGGGCTTGAGAGGGCTTGAGTACGAGGTTCCTCGGCAACGAAGCTTCCGCTCGATTGGTATCGCTAGGTGATGCCGTAACATCCGGTACCAAGTATACGGCATGTTGCTCGAATTCCTCCTCCCTCAAGGTCGCGTGATCCCATTCACTGGCCTCCATCCTTTACTGCAAGGAATAACATTTAATTAGCTTATAAATATTTATCGAGTACACAAACGTTTCTTTTTAAATTATTCACAAGTGTTTTTAACATTTTTCTTTTATCATCTTATATGTAATTTTCTAAGATGGGGGAATTCTCATTATCGAAAGATAATATTGTTTTTCAAAAACTGTCCGAATTGTTCCAATGAAATCGTACTTTCATTTTTACGAATAATTGTCTTTTGCGACGAAAGACGTAATACGGTACTAATATCAGGCTCTCTATGAATAAAGTTATCTACTGCAAAAGGCAGTTTTTTTATCAAAGCCATTATTAAAATCGTTAAACGATCTAAGCTAAGCGATAACAAATTTAGCTCAATATAAAAATTCTTTTTTTAGAGCGATATATAACCACCAATATGAAACTAATCCGGCTAACGATAATTAAAATCACTCGTCCGTAGGTTTTTTCTTGGCTACGGATTTTCCAAAGAATTTTTTTCTAATATCATTCAATGATCTTTTAAATGCAACTTTTAAGTGCTTTAAAATGTTCTTAATGAATTTACGACTTTAATAGAATTTTTCGATGCAATTTTCGAACCGTTTTTTGTTTGATCTCTGGAAGAGGAGAAAATTTAGTTTAAACAGTTTGTTCTTAAAATAAAATGATCGGTCATCGTAAAAATATTTGTCTCTCGATGGAAACTAAAAATGAATAAATCGACAAGAAAAGACTATTTAGGAGGTGTTGAGAAGTCTCTCTAAGATGATATTCATCCTTGTCTGATATATATATATATATATATATATATATATATATACATCAGATATATGTCCGTATACATACATATATATATATATATACGGACATAACTTAATTACTCGGGATCGGAAATAGTAGTAGATTCAAAAATAAATTCGTCAGTTACAAATATTGAATTGCAGGGTAGTAACAAGACAAATAACATCGTTAGACTCGATTAATCGTGAAGAGTCAAGAAAGAGGTATCGTTTGGTATGGATTCTAAATAACTTTGATCAAAAAAAAAGAAAAAGGAATCAACCTATAAATATCGAAATCTTAAATCAATCGAGAGAAATCAAGACGAAAAGCATTATCTTTCTTAAGGATGTATCCTTTTTATTATAAGCTTTCGATTGGTGGTGGTGATGCAACGCTTTAACATCGCGAAAGTGAAACCCGTCCACGCATTGATCGACTGCAGCGGCGAAAGGGGATGGGGATGGGTGGGAGCATAAACTCTAAAGTCCAATCCTCGCCGCCGCCACCGCCAGCACCGCCGCCGCCGCCGCCGCCGCCGCCGCCACCGCCGCCGCCACCACCATCACCATCACCACCACCATCACCACCACCACCATCACCACCGGTCGAGTTTTCGCCGCTCGTTGAATTTTGATTTCCGTGAAAATCGCGCACGAATGCTATCTTCAGCATTCCCCATCGACGATTCCCTTTACGGTTCTCTTTCAATGACTTTTTTCAGCTCACGTGCGAGAGTTCAATGACCGCTCTTTTAAATCGAAGAACCGCTACGTTCATAGAATCCCCTCTTGCCTCTACTTCTGCCTCTGCCTCTACCTCTGCCTCTGCCCCTGCCTCTGTCTCTATCCCTTCGCCTTTCTCCTCTTCCTACCATTCGCGACATTCCTTTCTATATCTTTAACCGAAATCATCCATAATCGATTTGACCAAGATTCGTCGATTCGTTTTCGCGCGTAAGAGGATGAGGTCGTTTCTCTTAAGTAAAAGTTTATCAAATTGATAATATTATCTAGTGACTCACGGCTCGCGTTTTTCGGAGCATCGGTCGGCCAAACGTCGAAGGCGTCGGCGATCTGGCTGTTCTCTCTCTCTCTCTCTCTTTCTCTCTCTCTCTTTCTCTCTCTCTCTCTCTCTCTCTCTCTCTTTCTCTCTCTTTCTCTCTCTTTCTCTCTCTTTCTCTCTCTTTCTCTCTCTTTCTCTCTCTTTCTCTCTCTTTCTCTCTCTTTCTATATCTATCTCTATCTCCCCTTCTCTTTCACTCTCTTTCTTTTAGCGATTCTCACGAATCAAAGCTCTCTTTTCTCTCTCTCTCTCTCTCTCTCTTTTTCTCTATTTCTATACGAGCGAAAGGAGAGGATCGGCTTCCCTTCTCTCCTATCTTCGGCTCTCTTACGTGATTCTGTGATTTCTTAAAGAAATCGGCATTTCGAGTCTCAGGAAAGAAGAATTAGCTTCGTCTTCGCATGAGTGGCCTAACCAGAGTGCTACCGCACCGGCTAACCTTGCGTTCGTTAACGTCAACATTTATTTGTCAACTCGTTCGGGGAAATCGATCTTGAGCGAATCGATCGGCCTATGACGCAACAACGATCGCGTCTATCTCTTTTTTCTTTTTTAGTATTCGGCAGGTTCGTTCGTTCGAATGCACGAATGCATGAATTCACGAGTGTACGCACGCAGATACGCACGCGGGAGTTATCGATTATCAGGACATCGGAAAAGGGAAATTACGATGGATTTGAGCTGTCCTCGCTCACGACCATCCACGATGCTCTCTCTCTCTCCTTCTCTACGCTGTTTATCAACAAGCACCGCACGACAAGCAATCGTCGATCTCCTTCTTTGAAGCTTTTCTTATCTTCTCCGATCGATTAATTGTCACGACTTCTTTTTCTTCTTATATTTTATAATCTTCAAATTCACTAGCACTACCACCAACACCAAAAGCAAGCCACCTATATGCACAGTACAAACATCTCTATTTTCTTTCTTCTTTTTCTTCTTACGATTTATTAGAGTTTATTTTGTTTTTGAAAAAAAAAAGATGCCGAGCTAAAAACACTCACACGCACTTACACCCTTTTCTTTACCCTTCCACTTTTTACCCTATCGATAAGCTACCTTTCCTCGAGATTTGACGATGACCAATAGAGATGGTTTGGGAATAACTCCAAAGCCTTCGTTCGTTCCTCTTTTTAATTTTACGAGGAGGCAAAAGAGGCGTAGAATTTTCCGCGTTGCGCGCCGCGGAAATTGCTCGGAGGACAGCTAGGATCGATCGTTTCGAGCTTCGAATTTTCTACGTCCGAGTTGGAAGGGTAGGTTCGCGATGGTACGTTCGTTTAGTTCTATTTTCGGGAAGCTTCCTTTTCGAATTTGCACCAGATGAGTTTCGAGAGGTTCGCGAGCTCCTGTTATTCTCGTAGGAGACGTGGAAAAGGACGGTCTCCGCTTGCTCGGTTCTCGCGGATAGCAGGGAGAGAGAGAGAGAGCGGTGTGCGTGGAACTCGGTTAGACCTGACCTAGCCCAACGCGAGTCGGCTTGCCGAGTCCTCCCTTCCTCCCTTCCACCCTTCCTTCCTTCCTTTCTCCCCTGCTTTCCTCCCCTGCCACTCACTCGCTATTGGTCGCTGTTCTGTCTCTCTCTCTCTCTCTTTCTCTCTGTCTCTCTCTTTCTCTCTCTCTCTCTCTCTCTCTCTCTCTTTCTCTCTGTCTCTCTCTCTCTCTTTCTCTTTCTCTTTCTCTCTCTCTCCCTGTGTGTCTCTCTTTCTATCTCTCTCCCTCTTTCTCGAACGCGTTGCGCCGGTGTGTGCGAGCAAAACTGGCAGAGAAGAGCAGAGGTGGTGCATTTCTCTGCGCTGCGCTTTCGATCGACCCGCTCCCAGCTTTCCTCTCTCTCTATCTTTCTCTCTCTCTCCTTCCTTTGACTCGACTCTCATCCCCTCACCCTCTCCTGCATTTCCACCTCACACCCTCGCTCAACTTTCTCCCTCCAGTCTCGACTCCCGTTCTCGTTACCCGTTTCAACCCCTTCACCTACTCCAACGAGTGCAACCACGTCTCTCTCTCTCTCTCTCTCTCTCTCTCTTTCTCTTTCTCTCTCTGTTTCGTTGCAAGGTGCATGCGCCGATCGCTTCTAAGTTTAATTGTTTCAACAACTTCCGGATATAATAAGCTCCGTCGGTCGACAAAAAAGCAGGCGAAAGTGCTCCTCGCGAATCAATCTCAAAGAAGATATTTCGAGATGAACAATTAATTATGAATTCTACTTTGGATTTAGGATTAAAGTTTTCTAAGCTATCGTTAGATCGGTGAAATTATTAAGTTTGTTTTATATTTTTTATATTAATATCCTTCCCATTTTTTTTCTTTCCTCCTATTTCCCAATATTCTCACGTATGATATCTTTTCTAGGCGGCGTAGTCTCGATTCTTCCGTATTCACAGCACATAAATCCAATGGAAATCGATCCGCGACCCTGTAAACGTATGCGTAAACTTTTTCGTTCTTCATAGACGTAGCTACCTTTACGTACGTGCAAAAATATCGTCTTTTTACGTACGTATTATTTCTCGCAAAATATTTTTGGACACAGATAAAACATATTATTAGGGATCGTTAAAAACATAATACGTTCGACATTCATCTGGTATATCTCGTAAGGGGATTGGTTCCGTAAGTACTAAAGTCAGGGTCGTTCAAGATCAGTTACCTTCCATTTTCATTGGCTAAACGCATTTTCGAATAAGTGACTTCGTTTTTTCCTCACTTCACGCGTCGTCAATTTCGAATTAGAAGGATTAATGCTTTGTCTTCGAAAAGAAAAGAAGGTTGACAAACCGCAATTTGTAGAGAAGTATGTTGCTGCTCTCTCTCTCTCTCTTTTTCGATCTTAATTCCAAAGACCGGTCTCGATTTTATCTGTAAAGTTACGTGAGCAAAATCTTTTTTTCTAGGACCTCGGTCGTCCAATAGCAAATTTGCTCGCAATTCGACTATGATGATAACGATAACGACGACGACGACGACAACGACGACGAACACGACAACTACGAGAGCGTCGACCTCTTCCTTGATTTTCACAACTACTCACGGAATCCTTCCTTCCCCTAGCGAAAGAAAGAAGTTTTCGCGCGAATCGACGCTCGACGACTACTAACCCAGATACGTTACTTCGGGTCGATGATCTTTTCTCTCCTCGAAGACAGGCAGATCTATAAGACCATCATTT